GTGGATGAGCCTGTTTGACAACGGTTCCGACCTTGACCCTGCAGGTCGGAATGGATGGCCCAGGCAGCAGGGGTGAGCCGGAGGGCTAGATGTCGGATCACCGCTTGACTATTCTTGATTTCCCTATCGTTCTTTTTTTTTTGTTTTGGTGCTTGGGATCCACAGCGGAGTTTTTCCTTTTCCTGGAATATTTGGTTTTTCTGGAATGTTAGGACGATACCCGGGACCTGACAATGTTGGGTCCCCATTGATTTCTCTATTTTGATAGTACTGAGCTAGTTCATCTTGACTTTCTGCAGCAATTTGGGCTCTCCAGCTTGGAACGAGGAAACTTTCTTTTTGCATATTTTAGTGGCATTCGTGCTGAATCATGGGATCTAGCATTGCCTGGACGATTGGACGAGAACTGGTTGTGATCCTGCTTTTGACGCCATCATGGCCAGATGAGACCCGGGAAAGTTTCAAATTGCAGTGGCTGAAGCTATTCTGGTATATCATACTGTACCAGGATAGGACATGTGATCCTCGGCATACTGGAACGCAGAGAACAGACCAGCTTGCAGAGGCCGTTACAGACATGCTACCTGCAGGAGGGAATAGTATTCAAGGTGAGGACTCGGCCTGATTGCCTCTAGCATGACTAGATCTGTTGTACGAACTACGGAGGGTATCAGTCTTGATGCAAAGCTGCCTGCTCGGTGGAACGATGCCCTGGCCTCCCAAATAAGCATGATTGTCTGTGTAACTGGGGAAGTGGATATCAAGATAGTTTAACGTCACCTTATACTTCGACTACTGGTTTCAGTATGAGTCTAGGATATCGCGAGTGGGTTCTCGAGCGGACTATTCATAGCGCCTATGAAGTAGTTTCTACCTTCTAAGGGAGAGCTAATAATGACGATGCTCGTTCACACTCGAGCTCCTTAGACTCACCCAGTAAGCCTGGACCATGTCCAGGCCCAATATAAATTAATCTATCTCCTCCTAAGACATTCGGGATCATTTCCCATCTCAAGGAGACTCCGTGAAGCCAAGACGCTTTTATTATCCGTGTCTTATATGACTTAATAGTGCTCATATCCTTTGCGCTATCGACCGCCGTCCCATTGATCACTTGGATATTATGTATATGCTGGAATCATAGAGATAATATGTACCCAAAGTAAAGCTGTTGAGTGTGACATGCTCTGCCATTGCCACGTGACACCAGTGGTAGTCATTTATCTCTCCGTCTCTGTAACTAATCAGATGGATATAAATCCGTAGTAGGCTACTCTGAAACTTGAAATTGATACTACTCTCCCGCCAAGAAGCTTCAGATCCACAGTCTCCACTACCGTCTACGATTGCTTCCCGTTTATGAGTTCAGATTGGATCCTTTCAGCCGTGGCGCCAACAACCTCAAACAAGCCAAGTCTCATAGTCGCTCGGCCATTCAGACTCTAGGATGCACTGTGTACTTTGCCACCACAAGAGTGATAATTACTCGAGTAATTGTGCATGGAGGTTCCTGTGATCTCTGAGGATAGAGTGCTCCGTGTAGAGTACAGAATAGACTTGAGTCGGATGTAAACATTAGGGCGCTTACTCGGTTCTTCGATCTATAGGCTGGCTGGTTATGAATTGTGATATTGAGGTCAGTGATGCTGTGGTCTTGCCTTGCTAATAGGCCGCATTCTTCTGTTAACAGATGACGTTAGTTCTCACGTATGTACGTACGTACTTTATTTCTTACAAAGCTCGACTCGAGATCCAAGACAGAAAAATGTCCTTGTTATGTCTCTGTTGTGGCTTTCCTCCACCGGGATTGGACCTGTCCACCAGCAATCTAGCTGGAGCATCGACAAAAGAGCTGAGATGTGGACCATCGATACTATCAACCAATATTATCTGTCGTACCAAGTACTATCAATCTCTCTAATAATAATAATAATAACAATGTCCGTCATCTAGTCTGTCCACGTCGGTGGATCTTGACTGACACCCAACCCCCGCGTCTGTCTGGGCAGGGGCTTCTGAGCTTCCGAGCCCTCTTTTTTCCGTCTTTTCAATTTTTATCCAACTTATTTTTCCATTTTTTCTTTCTTTTTCAATATCATAAACTGAGTAGATCTTCATCTTCTTTCTTGTTCTTCTTTTCTTTCTTTTGCTTGGCAGAAAGTTCTGTCTTTTCTTTCTCCTGCGTTCGTTTAGATACAAGACATTGTGACTGGATCACCTTCACATTCCTTTCGTTGCCCGCCGGTATTCGCTACAATCCAGAAGAACGTCACGTATCCAACCTGGGACACTTCGTTCGATCGCGGGACCTTTTGTCTTTTCTTCAACCCATCCGTGGCTCTATCAGGTTCCCCTCTGGAACAGATAGCAAACAAAGCCTTTGTCTGTGACTATCTGAGGGCTGGACATTCGAACTCGCCGTGGGCGCGCCAATCTCACTGCAATACTCTGGCGCCCCCTTGGACGCCCTAGCTGTTGTTATCGACTCGCTGTGTTCCTGTGACAGAGTCCGACTATCGTCTTCTGCTCCCTTCGCTTGAGCAAGTTCCCGGTCTGCAGAGCTGGTTCTCGCACGACCTTTCCACTGCTGGACTTCTGGATTCCGGGCTTAACTATCGCCAATATTTCTTTCTTTTCGTTCTTTAAGTCTCAGTCTTGAGATTATCTTTGCTCCAAAATGCAATTTCTCATTCTTGGATTGTCCCTGGCTGGGCTTTCGTTGGCAGCTGAGGACCTGGAGAAGCGCAGTGGCGGTGGAGGTTCGGCTTTCGATATCTATGAGATTGTCAACGATGACCTTTCCCGTATCACTCTTCTCGTCCTCGGCTGCATGGCCGCGTTCATCTATGCCTGGAAGATGTGGTTTCGCATCTCCGCTCATCTCAGACGGCTGGCAAGCTTCAACAACGAACGACAACGGTATTTCGTTCCTGCCGATGGGACCTTCGCAAAAGTCAAGAACCACATCATCTACGCCCCGCTGTTTCGTAACAGACACAATCGTGAATTCCAGCTGTCTTCGGCCGTCAATATGGGCACTTTGCCCAGTCGGTTCCACACCTTCATCGTAGCGGGAATCATTGTTCTGAACGTGGTTGTGTGCGTGGTCACCGTTCCCTACAAGACCAAGGAGGACACAGTCGCAGGCGTTATCCGTAACCGGACCGGTACTATGGCGACGGTCAACCTGATTCCGCTCATCCTCCTCGCGGGACGAAACAACCCACTCATCAAGCTTTTGGAGGTTCCCTACGACACTTTCAACCTGATCCACCGCTGGCTCGCTCGGATCGTGGTCTTCGAGACTCTTGCTCATGTTTTTGCCTGGGCTATTCCCAAGGCCCAGAAGAGTGAGTTGCTTGTCTCGGGAAGTGCGGTCTAGAAGGCTGTCGCTAACTGTTGCATAGTTGGCTGGGATATTGTAGGCACAATCTTTGGGAAGAGCACCTTTCTTCTGACAGGATTGATCGTGAGTTTTGGTGACGACAGAACACGTCAAGCCAATTCGACTGACTATTATGCAGGCTGCTTGTGCGTTCGTCGGGCTCATGGTTCACTCGCCCTCTCCGATTCGACATGCATTTTATGAAACCTTCCTTCATCTGCATATTGCCATGGCCATTGTTTCGATGGTCGGCCTTTGGATTCACTTGGATGGTCTTCCTGCTCAGACTTACTTGCTCGTCGCCATCATCTTCTGGGGTCTGGAGGTAGGTCATCGCAATGCTTGTCCGTAAAACTTGAACGAACTTCGAGCTGACTATGCCCACAGCGCGCCACACGAGTAGCGATCATCGTGTATCGCAACTGCGGAAGAAGGGCGACAACGGCGGTGGTTGAGGCCATGCCCGGCGAGGCGATGAGAATCACCCTGAAGATGGCAAGACCCTGGACGTTCAAGCCTGGCCAGCACATCTACCTCTACATTCCCTCGATCGGCTTGTGGACTTCGCATCCATTCTCTGTCGGCTGGAGTGAGTCCGAGGAAGTTGTTACGGACGAGAAGGGCATGCCAATGACACGCCAGGACTTGTTCGGCTTGCAGAAGACGACCGTCTCGCTGCTTGTCCGGCGCCGAACTGGTTTCACGAACAAATTGTACCAGCGCGCTTTGAGCGCTCCCGACTCGCGCGTCACTCTGAAGGCGTTCGCGGAGGGACCGTACGGAGGCATCCACACCATGGACTCCTACGGCACCGTCGTCCTGTTCGCCGGTGGTGTCGGCATTACCCATCAGGTTCCATTCGTACGCCACCTGGTCAAGGGGTATGCGGAGGGCACAGTTGCTGCACGACGAGTCACTCTGGTCTGGATCATCCAGTCACCCGAACACCTTGAATGGATCCGCCCCTGGATGACCAGCATCCTGGCCATGGATCGCCGCCGGGAAGTCCTTCGGATCATGCTGTTCATCACCAGACCCCGTAACACCAAGGAGATCCAGAGCCCGAGCGCCACAGTCCAGATGTTCCCGGGCCGACCGAACATCGATACGCTGATCGGGATGGAGGTCGAGAATCAGGTTGGAGCCATGGGGGTGCTGGTCTGCGGAAACGGCAGCTTGAGTGACGATGTCCGTCGCGTGTGCCGTAAAAGACAGGACCAGACGAATGTTGATTTCGTGGAAGAGAGCTTTACGTGGTAGTCGATGTTGAAAGATAAAGTCGGGTTTCTTTTCTGCTCCTGGCGCTGGGTAGAACAAAGAACTGTCTTCGCCTCCAATCCTTCACTGACGTATTTACCTTGCTTTACTACCTTCTGCTTCTTCTCTCTGCCGTCAGTCAACCAACTTAAAGCATGCTTTCGGTTCTCCTGTCTTTTCGGTTATGGAGTTGGTTGCCACTTTGTTGATTCCTTTATGGATGTACATAGCTTCCTCCTTTAGCTTCTCAACCCTGCTGTCTGCATTCTTGTCCGTAGGCTCATCTTTCCATCGAGTAACCTAGGTTCTCTTCATCGCTTATGATCGAGAATCCAGGCCATCTTCATGATTCCCAAACCATGATGGATGATACATAGTGTCTTACTTATTTTGAACTCTGCAATCTCAAAATCCCGCACAGTTGACATCTACAAACCAACCATCTCCCTTTAATCCGTATGAGCAATCAATTGGACACGAGTTATACGACGCAGAGAACGCCTCAATGATCCTAGAAACCATTCTCATTCGCCAAAGCTTTTCCTGCAAATCCAAGCAGCACACTAACTCATCTTAGTATGTAGTTACTGTTGTCTTGGATTAGAAATCGAACGTGGTGGGGCGGGGCAACGCTGATGGCATCATAATCAAGTCAAAAGCTATTAATCATCGAATCGCGGAATCGGCGGGGTAATTGGGCCGATTAGCAACGCGACCGGTAGCTTCATAAAGCTGGGGGTCCCATTGCGATAGGGGCAGGGTTTCAGAAAGAGAATCAGAATTTGTTCATGCTTTTGTTTCTGCAGAGAATTGGGTCATTCCGTGCATACTCTACTCTTAAACGACCGTTTGCAACATTCACCATGGCGAATAGACCTGACATTACGCTGTACACTACGCAGACTCCTAATGGGATCAAGATCTCCATTGCGCTGGAGGAGTTGGGGTATGTTCTCTCTCCCTTTGTCTCTGGTCGCCCGACACTTGGTTGATGTGTTCTGGCTGACACTGTTGGATAGACTCCCATACAAGGTGGAGAAGATTGACATCTCCAAGAACACCCAGAAGGAACCGTACGTACTGAAGATGACACTCATCGCCAAAACGAACCAACACTAACTCCAACCAGCTGGTTCCTCGAAATCAACCCCAATGGCCGTATCCCCGCCCTGACAGACACCTTCACCGACGGCCAGAAGATCCGGCTCTTCGAGTCCGGCAGCATCCTCACCTACCTGGCCGAGCAGTACGACAAGGACCACAAGATCTCCTACCCCAAGGGCACCCGCGAATACTACGAGACAATCAGCTGGCTGTACTTCCAGAACGCCGGCGTCGGACCCATGCAGGGCCAGGCGAACCACTTCGTCCGCTACGCCCCCGAGCACATCCAGTACGGTGTGGACCGGTACGTCAACGAGACGCGCCGTCTCTACGGCGTGCTCGACAATCACCTCTCCACCTCAAAGTCCGGGTATCTGGTCGGCGACCATGTTACCATCGCGGACATCTCGCACTGGGGCTGGGTGGCGGCCGCTGGTTGGGCTGGTGTGAATATCGATGAGTTCCCGCATCTCAAGGCGTGGGAGGAGCGCATGGCTGCGCGCCCGGGCGTTGAGAAGGGCCGCCATGTGCCTGCGCCGCATACCATCAAGGACCTGCTCAAGGATAAGGAGCGGATGGAACAAGAGGCGGCCAAGACTAGGCAGTGGGTTCAGCAGGGCATGAAGTCGGATGCGGATAAGGCGAAGCATTGATTACGGGCATGTTTATATTATGTAAAATGCATATTGAAACGAATTACTCTTTGGAATTGACAATATCTTTTGATGCCCTTTTTGGAACCTCTGATTCTGGATAAGACAATTCTGCCTGAGCAGATCTATGGGTATGCATCCAATGGATAGCACTAATGTAAGCCACGTGATCGACTCGCCTCAGTCCAGCATATCACGTGATGGTCAAAGATTGCCACATCGTCCCTTGAGATCTGGTTCAGGCTCAAACAGTATTTAATAGCTCTTGCTCTCACTTCAGTATCGGACAGAGCTCTGTGCTTACTTACCAGACAGATTAACTCTTGTATCGCAGCTTATCGCACCAGGTGACAAAATGGCCTGGCGCAATCAAGGAATCACCGGTTCCAACAACATCCCTCTAGGCCGTCGGCGGTTTGGAGGTGAAGATGGCCCAGAGGAGGAGAGTCGCACCGCGACGCCTGCATCTGTCGGCGGAGATAATGGGATCAAGCGTGGCAGAAGCCCAGTCCGAGGTACGTCTTTGCCTTATCTGGATCATTTTCAGTCGATTTACTAACTTTCTTCTTTCACAGCGGACCCTCCTGCTGACGGTGTGAAGAGGCGCAAGAAGCGCAACCGTTGGGGTGATGCTCAGGAGAACAAGGCTGCCGGTCTCATGGGCTTGCCCACGATGATCATGGCAAACTTCACCAATGAACAGCTTGAGGCTTATACACTGCATCTCCGTATTGAGGAGATCAGTCAGAAGCTCCGTATCAACGATGTTGTTCCTGCGGATGGCGATAGGTTCGTCCCCATCCCCCTTTTTCTTCTTTTCTTTCGTTCTTCGCCTGAGCTAACATTATCTGTGCAGATCCCCATCGCCGCCTCCGCAGTACGATAACTTTGGCAGACGTGTAAACACTAGAGAATATCGTTACCGCAAGCGTCTTGAGGACGAGCGCCACAAGCTTGTCGAGAAGGCCATGAAGACCATTCCTAACTACCACCCGCCCTCTGACTACAGGCGTCCAACCAAGACCCAGGAGAAGGTCTATGTTCCAGTGAATGACTATCCAGAGATTAACTTCAGTATGATAACTAACCCTCTAACTCCTAACCGTTCCTGCATTGTGTCGTTCTTGGCTCTCTGCTCGAGTCGGGCCCGTGAGACATCGCCTTGTGATGATGTGTCAAAGGCTCGCTTCCTGCTAACCCTTGCTACTTGACTATCTTGCTTTCATTGCTTTGCTCTCCTTGAATAACCATCATGAACTAACACTTAGCTCTTTGCTACCTTTTAAAGTTGGCTTACTCATAGGTCCTCGTGGAAATACCTTGAAGAAGATGGAGTCCGAATCTGGCGCCAAGATTGCCATTCGAGGCAAAGGCTCCGTCAAAGAAGGAAAAGGTCGATCTGACGCCGCTCACGCTAGTAACCAGGAAGAAGACCTCCATTGTCTGATCATGGCAGATACCGAAGAGAAGGTTAACAAGGCCAAGAAGCTTGTGCACAATGTTATCGAAACAGTAAGTTTATGTCCTCCCTTGGGATGAAATCCAAACACTTAACAACGCATGACAGGCTGCCTCGATTCCCGAAGGCCAGAACGAACTCAAGAGAAACCAGTTGCGAGAGTTGGCTGCTCTCAACGGTACCCTCCGTGATGATGAAAATCAGGCTTGCCAGAACTGTAAGTTTCCAGGTTACTCTCCTCGTTGAATTTGCTTATACTAACTCGGTCAGGTGGCCAAATCGGACATCGCAAGTACGACTGTCCCGAGCAGCGTAACTTTACCGCCAACATAATCTGTCGCGTCTGTGGTAACGCCGGCCATATGGCTCGCGATTGTCCTGACCGCCAGAGAGGTTCCGACTGGCGGAATGGCGGCGGTTATGGCGGTGGCCGCAGAGCTATCGGGCAGGGCGATGCTGTCGATCGTGAGATGGAGGTAAGTTCGGTGTCTTTTCCCTATTCCCGAACAACAAATGCTAATTGCCACAGCAACTTATGCAAGAATTGTCCGGCGGTGCTCCAGGTCCGGACGGCCAGCCTCCTCGCCGGATCGAGGCCGGTCCCGATCACGGTTACGATGATCATGACGCGAAGCCATGGCAGCGCGGACCTCCTCCCAGCGATGTGGCTCCCTGGCAGCAGAGAGGGCGGGACAACCGCTCTCGCGACGACTACGGATCCCGCGATCAGGGCAGTGCACCTCCATGGGCGGCACAGAGCCGTGGCGGCGATTATGGATATGGATCGCATGCAGGTGGCTACGGCGCCCCTGGTGCTGCTGCTGCTGCCGCTGGTGGCGCTGCTCCTTGGCACCAGCAAGCTCCGCCTCCACCACCCGGCGGAGCAAGTGCTTATGGATATGGGGCTTATCCCGGTTATGGCGCAGCTGTGCCTGGTATGGGCGCCCGGGTGCTCCTCCCGGTCTGAGCGTTCCACCTCCTCCGCCCGGCATGCCTTCCATGTACTACGGCTCTGGCAGCCCTCCACCACCTCCCCCTGGCGAAGGACCCCCGCCTCCTGTATGTTCTCCCCTGGACCAACTTGAATTCAAACAAGATTGCTAACTTGCGCATAGCCTCCGAGTGAACTGCCCCCACCTCCTCCCCCTTCTGCATAAACAATATGCAGCTCGAAGGATGATTCAGCAATATACCCGTCGCATCATGGAAAGTGAGATTGTGAGAAGTATCGGCAACACGAAAAGCGCGCCTGCTTTGCGAGCAGTGTGATATTTCAAAGCGCGCGGGGAAATTGACCATTGGTAGTTTCAGAGCTAATATGGGCCTTGTCATTGATGCGCACTAGTGTGTTATAATTTATTGTCCATGCAAATTATTGTTTCGCTTGAGATCCTCCCATAGAATTCAGGGTGATTCTGTAGTGCTTTAGATGTTGGGGGACTGCAGATGATGTCAGCAGTAAAGGAATGGAAATGCCTAATTGGGCGACTCCGTGCCATGCCTAGACGACCGGTGCCTCAGGCCCATAAGAGTTGTTCTACTATTTGTCCATATTGCTTCTTTGCAAACTTCAGGTTTTAGAAGACCTAAGTAGGATTGAAATATCCTCCTGACCCTAGATTCCCCGCAGCCGCAGAGCGGTTGACGTGGTCTCCCCATTTCACCTCACTGCCAGCACAATTCTGCTTGGTCAGGAAAGCGTGGCACAAGTGTACAACTGCACAACATGCAGAGAAACCGCCGAGCCTCACACACTTCTGCTCGTGAGGAGATCCCCGTCCCCCCGAGGTCAAGTCTACGCCCTACAACCTCACAGGGCTCGGTCCACTCATCTCACTCCCAGCGGAATCCTTGGCAATCTGGGCCGCAGCAGGCGCGACGGGGAAGTGGAAAATCGCACTCCCAGCACTCCCAGCATCAGCATGGCGGTGTCTCCCATGGGCAGCATGGTGTTGAGGGTCTGTCGAGGGTGCAGACTGGCGCGTCGTCTGTGCGGACGAGCAAGTGGTGGCGGGTACGGCTCTTCCGCGGCATGATCAAGGATATCAAGCGGAGGGCGCCGTTCTACTGGAGTGATTGGACGGATGCGTGGGATTACCGCGTTATTCCTGCCACTGTTTATATGTATTTTGCAAAGTGAGTGCCTTACGGGCTCTGAGGTTTTCTGTGTGGCCTGTTGCAGAGTAGACAGGAAAACTGACTGGTGTAGTATCCTGCCTGCTCTGGCGTTCTCGTTGGATATGTTCGAGAAGACGAAGCAGAGTTATGGGGTTAATGAGGTTCTTCTTGCCTCTGTCCTGGGGGCTGTTGTTTTTGCGGTCTTTGCTGCGCAGCCCTTGGTTATTGTTGGTGTTACTGGTGGGTTTGTTCAGATCCTGGTGGTTAGTTATGATGATGCTCACCTGTATACGCAGGTCCGATTACGGTGTTTAATTACACTGTTTACGATATCGTGTCGCCGCGTGGGACACCCTATCTCGCTTTCATGTGTTGGATCGGGATGTAAGACTCCCTTGTTGAGGTGATCTCTTACTTGTGCTGACTGTCGAAGCTGGTCGTTGATTATGCATTGGATTTTGGCCATCACCAACGCTTGCAACGGTCTCACTTATGTCACCCGCTTTTCGTGTGACATCTTTGGGTTCTACGTGGCCTTCATCTACCTGCAGAAAGGGATCCAGGTTCTGACCAGACAATGGGGCCAGGTCGGGGAGGCCTCCGCCTACTTGAGTATTATGGTTGCCCTTCTTGTCCTCATGAGTGGATGGATTTGCGGAGAACTCGGCAACAGCACTCTCTTTCAGAGATATGTCCGTAAATTCCTCGAGGATTACGGTACACCGTTGACTATCATTTTCTTCACTGGATTCGTCCACATTGGCCATATGCGGGATGTTGAAGTTGCAACCTTGCCCACCAGTAAAGCCTTCTTTCCCACCGCTGATCGTGACTGGTTGGTGGATTTCTGGAATATCAGTGTTGGGGACATCTTTCTCGCCATTCCGTTTGCCCTTCTTCTGACGATTCTGTTCTACTTTGACCACAATGGTGGGTTCTCACTTTGCTGAAGGCTGTCGAACGAAAAACGTAGTGGACTGACATGCTACTAGTGTCATCGCTGATTGCGCAGGGAACAGAGTTCCCTCTACGTAAACCCGCTGGCTTCCACTGGGATATCTGGCTGCTAGGTCTCACCACCTTTGTAGCTGGAATTCTCGGTCTCCCGTTCCCAAATGGACTGATCCCTCAGGCACCCTTTCACACAGCTGCGCTTTGCGTTACTCGCGATGTGGCCGACGAGGATGACACCAACAAAGGCAAAACGATCCGCGTCACCGACCACGTTGTCGAGCAAAGGGTCAGTAATCTCGCTCAGGGTCTCTTGACCCTCGGTACCATGACCGGTCCACTTCTCATCGTCCTGCATTTAATCCCTCAAGGCGTCATGGCGGGTCTTTTCTTCGTCATGGGGGTACAAGCCCTCCAGGGCAACGGTATCACACAGAGACTCATCTTCCTGGCCCAGGACAAGGACTTTACGTCTCCGTCAAATCCACTGAAACGAATCGAGCGCAGGCTCGCCATTTGGGTGTTTGTCATCATCGAACTCATCGGTTTTGGTGCCACATTCGCCATTACCC